TCACTCCTAGCATTCTTGAGCACTATGGGGAGATCATCCCATTGCTTGTGAAGAGGACTACTTGGAGATCCCTATATCCTCTCCTTCCAAACTCACCTCGTGTATCCACGTGCTCTGTGACAACACTGACCAGGAGTGAGACCAAACGGTCAATTCCAGCTGCCTGACTGAAAGCAATCCTCTTTCTACAATATTTCAGGTTCATTTTCAGACATATTTTGGAAGACTCTTAGCCAACCTATCCACATTTCACCCCGATGATGAATTTTTCCTGAAGTCCCTTCAGTTCCTTATAACTCTTCTAGTTCTTCACCAAAGTCCCTTCAGTTTATCTAGACAATTCAGATGCTTAAGTGCCCAAACCTAAATACAGCATGCTTTCCCCAGCTATATACAGCACCACTATCACCTCCTTACTCTACCAAGAATCACTTTTACCTCTCTTTTGCAGCCACATGGCATTACACTTTTAAAAGAAATAGCCAATAATAATGTAAATGTTTTGAATGTTAACTAATAGATGGGTTAAGATGTATCCATCTTCACAGGTACAAATATTCCTTTAAAATTTAGGGAGCAGGCACTGAGGTTAGTTAGCTTGCTGTCATTTCAACCTTACAGAACAACTCACTGGAAAAATCTAGAGACAATTCAGGTCTTTTCTTCTATGTTGTTTTGTACTTTCATTTTAGTTACCAGAGCCCAGAAATACCATCTCTATGGCATCATCGCATGGCTCTCTCATGAGATGATCATTTCACAAAAAGAACTGATATATATATATAGAGAGAGAAAAAGATATATATCTATATATCCAGCATGTGATATGCTAGTTAATGCTGAGAGGTGTCTGTGTAAGGCAGAGGGGAGGGGGGAATCTCTGCTTGAGCAAGGAGTGATGATGGGGAGGGGAGGAGCAGGAGGAAGCAAGGCAGATGCTCTCTATGTGCAGTCTCTGCCAGAGCTGCAGCCAGGGAGCAGAGGGATGGGGCAGGCCTGCTGGGCTGGAGGAGAGAGAAGAACACCACCCAGGGTTGCAGAACAACTAGGATGCTGGAGGACTCTGATTTAACTTAAATCTCTCTCTCTCTCTCTCTCTCTCTCTCGCTATATATATATATCTATATATATATTAGCAAAAATTTCCCTCCATATCATACTTACAATCTCAGCATGGCCTTTTCATCACTAGGTTCAAAATTTGGCAGTTTGACATCAAACATTCGCTCCATTAAGATACGGGCATATTTGCCAAAATCTAGCTTAGAGTTTGATTCCCACAGCACTGCATCATAGGAGCAAGGGTCCAACAAGATGGTGATGAATTTTCCAGCAACCCGAATCTAAAGAATTAAAAAAAAGAATCATAATGCAAAAATGCACAAAAAAGTAATAATGCAAAGTTTTCAGATAAATGAAGTTTATGATTCTTAGGACCTCAAATTCCATGCTTATAAAAAACACTTGTTGTGATAGGCACCAAAAATTGAACCCTTTACTCAGGGCATTGCCTCAGAATATTAAAGCATAGAAGATCAGGCCCTCAAACGATGTTAATGTTAATAACATTTTTGTTCAGGTTTTAAGAGGATTATCTTCAGAAGTATCGGGAAGAAACTTTCCCCCTCCCTCCCGACATTATAGAACATTATAAAAGCATTTGCCTTCCACTGATGCAATGGGTTTTGGCCACTCTAAGAAACTGGATGGACTGAAGGCCTCCATAGCCTAATCAGCTACAGGAATAAAATAAAATAAAATAAAATGTAGCTCTGAAAACTCACATTGCTCTCTCAAAAAAACTTCATGTTAAAACCTTACTAAAAATCAAGCCATCTTTGCCTTGCTTAGTTTAAAAGCAGCCTCAACCTGCTGTGGTGCAGATGAGGGAAGAAACAGGCCAGGACAGGAATGGAGAGATTTGTAGAAATCACTGCTTTTGATGGTAAAGAATTAAAAGCAGCTGCTCAGACATCTGTCTGAATGACTAACTGGTGCAGCTAAACTATGCACATCCCAGCCTAATGGTTACCTGGCAGAATTCAAGTCATGCTGGCATAGAGGATTCATAACCAATACTTACTGTGAAAATATCTCCATGCTTTTGTTTCATTTTAGACAGAAACTTGGCAGGATCTTTTCCAAATTCTCTGGCATGTCCAAACCAAGGAATATGACCTTTGTCAAGTGGAGGGTCACTCGGTAGCCTGGAAGAAAGATCAGCTTAAGTTCTTAAAATAATAGTTTAACAAACCCTGGGACTTGCTTCCTGCTTGTCAGCATGCTATGACTGTCTGTGAAAAATGACATCACCAACTGCACCTTGCTTTGCTTCCTCACTTACTCATGAAAACAATATTGCACAAACCCCCCGCTCAGGTGTGAACTACAATCTTGGGTATTGCTGCATGAATCGTTTATAGTCAGCCAGAAATTTAGACCACTACATTGATTCATAAAGGGGCAAGAATTAAACAGGATTTCAAAGGAAACTCTGTTTTTAATTCAGCTCTTGAAGGCAACCAGTGTAACCAGTGGCTACATATCATAAATGTTCATGACAAAGATACTGATTGAGTGCGTTTGAGGGGAAGAAAGGCAATGGATATAGAAAAGTGCTTTAAAATAATCCTGTGAGTCTTGCAAACAGACTGACATTTTAGGGAGTACAACTAGAATTCTTTTGCACCAGTAACTCCCTATATTAAACTCAAGTATATCAATAACATGGACATGAGAAAAGTTTGGCAAGGGTAAAAGCATTAAGGGTGGAGAGATGCTATTTCCCTAATTTGTGCTGTTTTTTCCATTCTCCAATTATTTTTAGAACATAGATTATTTAGATTATTTGCTGTTGAGTCACCCAGCCTGCGACCTGAGATTTTAATTTAACAGCCTCACTTTAAGGTCCAGGACAAATTCCTACTTACTTTACACTGGTGCAAAAGTCTGGCGCAGAACCCAGATTCCCACCAGTACAACCAAGATCACAAACTAGCCTAAGTACAGGGGGGAGAAAAATAACATGCCTAGAAATATTTCCAAAACATTAAATAACATTTGAAGGAGGAGGGAGAGTAGGGTCTATTCATATCAAAATTTCAGATTGGCCCTGTTGGCGCTTCAGAGCCATGCTCCGAATTCTTTCAGCACGATACTATTTTACACAAACCCAATTCATCTTCCTGCTTCTTGATTTTGACTGATTTCTGCTGA